TGGTAGGGCATAACTGCCACAGATAAATAAACAGGAGCCAGGGGCCCATGAACTAGGGAGCCCCTTTCTGCTCTCAGGGAGAATCTGTTTGACCCAGGAGGACTCAGTTCAGAGGAGAGTTGGCCCAGCGCTGTGCACTTCCCCTGTATCCAGGCAGCCGAGGCAGCAGCTGCTCTCCCAATTCAGTCCCCAACAGCTTGGCTTGCTGTTTGCCACCCTTTTGGCTGAGCTCATTTCCTGTTGCCTTGCTCGTGTCTGTTTTTAGCTCTGGCTACGCACCCTCTGACCTTCCATTCAAATGGCACAATGCGAAAAGGCGGGGTGGGGGGAAAAGGGGGGCAGAAACAAGCAGGGAGACGGACTCCTTGGCCAAAGTCCTCTGACATACCTTTGCCCCCAAATGACATAATGAATGACTAAGGTGGGCCCATCTTTCCCAGAGCTGCTGCTGGGTCTCTGGAGTGGCGTCTTCTCCAGACCTGTGTTCTTTTGGGACGTGGGTGGTCTAAACCCATGAGCCTCTTGTGAGAGCCAGTGTGGTGTAGTGGTTAAGAGCGGTAGATTCGTAATCTGGGGAACCAGGTTCCCGTCTCTGCTCCTCCACCTGCAGCTGCTGGGTGACCTTGGACTAGTCACACTTCTCTGAAGTCTCTCAGCCCCACTCACCTCACAGAGTGTTTGTTGTGGGGGAGGAAGGGAAAGGAGAATGTGAGCCGCTTTGAGACTCCTGAAGGGGAGTGAAAGGCGGGATATCAAATCAAAACTCTTCTTCTTCTTCTTCCCCCAACCCTGGCTGGAGATTACATTGGGGACTGAACCTGAGACCTTCTGCATGCAAGGCAGGTGTTTTGCCACTGGACTCTCTTGCACGGAATGCTTTAGTTGAGATTCTGGCATCACAGGGGCTTGGACTAGAGAACCTTTCAATCAATAATGATTTGATGAGCCTCAGCCCTTTCAAATGTGCAGAAGCTGGCTGGTTGAATCCCTGGTATCCCTGAGTTTTCTTTGTTTTCTTTCTTTGACCCCTGGACTGTTAAGTCCAGTCAAAGGTGACTATGGGGTTGCAGCGCTCATCTCACTTTCAGGCCAAGGGAACCAGCGTTTGTCCACAGACAGCTTTCCAGGTCATGTGGCCAGCATGACCAAACCGCTTCTGGCGCACGGAGGACCATGACTGAAGGCAGAGCGCATGGAAATGCTGTTTACCTTCCCACCACAGTGGTACCTATTTATCTACTTGCGCTGGTGGGCTTTCAAACGGCTAGATTGGCAGGAGCTGGGACAGAGCAAGGGGAGCTCACTCCGTCACGGGGATTTGAACCTCCGACCTTCTGATTGGTAAGCCAAGAAGAAGAAGAAGAAGAAGAGAAGAAGAGTTTGGATTTGATATCCCACTTTATCACTACCCGAAGGAGTGTCAAAGCGGCTAACATTCTCCTTTCCCTTCCTCCCCCACAACAAACACTCTGTGAGGTGAGGGGAGCTGAGAGACTTCAGAGAAGTGTGCCAGCCAAGGGTAGACAATACTGAGCTCGATTGTGATGACCTAGGACTCGGGCTCAGACTCGGAGCCAGAGGAGTCTCAGTCCGCACCGGATCCTTTGCCTCAGGCAGCTGAACCTAGTCTGGGGCCTGATCCTGAAGAGCCCCAGTCTGCACAGGTTCCCCTGCAACAAACACCAGCTGGGCCAAGTCCGGGGCCTGAGCCTGCCCTGGCTCCAGATGCGGGGATTCCCTCGTTGCCTCCAGCTGGGCCATCACTTACAGCTGCTCCACTACCGGTTGGGTCAGGGGAGGCTGAGGCGGCCTCTGGGTCTAGTAACCCACCGACATCTCCCGAGCTGCAGAGACTGAGGTCTGAGAGAAGGAGAGACCTGAGTACTCGCAGGAGGAGTGTTCGCCTTTGGGTGAGACAGGGAGGTGAGTCGCTGGGGGATCAGGACCGGCCGCTACCCCGACAGAGATAAAAGGCTGATGGACCCAGCCCCAGGTTGTGGGAACAATGTTGCTGTTTGCCAGAACCTGCCTGAGATCCTGTGCCTGACCTTGCTTGGTTTCCTGCCTCGTGTCCTGCCTTGGCCCTGTTGGACTGACTCCTAGCAGAACCCTTGGATTTGGGACCGAACCTGGACCGTGTGGCTCGGGCTACCCCCGGGCCCAGCACATTGATGGACCAATGTCCTGAGTCAGCTTCCTATGTCCATATGGCTTCAAGGAATTGGCTTCCCTCTGCCTTGGCAGTAGATAAGCAGAACAAAGTGAACGGAGTCTTCTTACCAGATAGAATTCTTTAATGATCACAGTGAGGGATAACGAACATCTCCCTCTAATTAAGGCCACCCCCATCCTGCTCAAACCACATCACCCCTACATCTGTTAACCCTCTCCCTGCCAGTGTTTCTTCTCCTAGCTGCTCTTCATCCAGTATTTCCCAGCTTCTGCCTTCTGAACTATGCCCCTCTGCAAACCAGTGTTCTAAATCTATACTGTCTTCCTGCCCCTGAGGAGATTCAGGATCAGGGGGACCTGCCATGCCTCCTCATTGTAGCCCTCCTCAGCACGGTCCCTGACACTATTTGGGAAGGGCCATAGGGCAGAGCATGTGTGATGAATGCAGATGGTCCACGTTGGGCTGTTGCGAATTTCGGAGGGCCACAGCCAATCAGTGGAGACAATCCTGGGTTATTGTATTTTAGTGTTCTGTTGGAAGCTGCCCAGAGTGGCTGGGGAAGCCCAGCCATATGGGCGGGGTATAAATAATAAATTATTATTATTATTATTATTATTAACCAATGGTCTGACTAAGGGCTCATCCATACGTCTGTTTGCTCCATGATTTGTAGACATGCGTCCGAGAGGATTTCGCTGGATTAGAGCAAACAGCGATCGGGTTTTCTACGGAAATACATTTGTTCCGATTAAGTGGTAAACAGCAGGTTTTCGTAGGAAGAGTGGCAGGACAAAACAACAAAAAACTATTGGATCCATGCCTGGAAATCATGGGACAAATGGAATAAATTACAGGACAAAGGAAAGTATGGACGAGCCCCAAGTACAGTGGTTTTCAAACTTTTTCTTCTCTGCGCCAGACTTTCAGAATAAAAATTTGCTCATGCCGCACTGAATTCTTTATTGATAAGAGATACACTGGAAAACAAAACTAAGCAACTCCTTGCAGTGTTTGATTTGTAATGCAGAACACAACTGCTTTATAATACAATCATGAGACACCCAGAAAGCATAAAATGCAGATACAAAAGAACAGGCATCGTTTTCAAAATATAATTATAAACAAGCCTCTTACATATGCACCTTAAGTAGGTATGTAAACTCAGTGAGAGGTGGGAACTTGCTTTGGCAGAGTAATCTCCTTTACATTAGGTTTAATTTGAGAAAGAAGAAACTCTCCTCTCCTCAACAACCCAAAGAAGCCTTTCTGTTTTCTGATCTTTCCTATTTGTCAGAGTTGAAAATTCCTGGAGAACTGTAGAAGAATAGCCAAGGCTCTGGAAAAGAAGCCTGGATACTGTTTCTGGGTGTGTGTGTATAGTATAAAGGTGCAAAGCCCTGCTTTCGCACCCTGTGAAACATAAATGTGCAGAGTTTTTTTAAAAAAACTGGGCAATGGCGCGCCGCCCACTCGTGACTCCTGAGACTTCCTCGATCTTCTTCCCCCTTCCCCCTTTGTTTTGACAGATCAGGGGATGGTCGGGAGTCACAGGCAGGCGGCTGTTGCCCAGGAGGGGCCAGCCTGGTAGTGCAGTTGGCTCTGGCTGGCTTCAGGAGCTGCTCGCTGCTATGGTGCAGGGGAAATGGCGGGCGCCACAGCAGCGAGCAGCTCCTGAAGCCAGCCAGAGCCAACTGCACTACCAGGCTGGCTCCAGGCTGCTGAGGCTGCTGCTGCCACGTTTCCCGGGGACAGATTTGCAAATCTGGGGACATTCCGGGGACGGAATTTGTCCAGGGACAGATTTGCAAATCCGGGGACTGTCCCTGGGAACCGGGGACATCTGGTAACCCTATTCTAGATGGGTCTGACCCAGCACAGTACTTCTTAGGTCCTTATGATGTAAATGGTACTGTATAAGAACACAGCACACACGCACGGCTTTGGGATAAATTGCAGGGATTTGTGGGGGGAAATGTTGTGGTCTGATCCTGCTGGCACATGGGCTGCCAAAGTTCCTTGGAAGCGGAAACTCCATAGGTGTGTTTCCCTGTCGTCTCAATGTGTGTGTGCATTTTAAATAAATGTCACCGATGTGGATATAATTCTGTGTGCTGTGCAAGTCTATCTCCAAAATATGGACATTTGAAGTAGTCCAAAATTCAGCCTAGTTGCTCGATGGGGAGACGCAGAACTGGCGCATTGTACCAGCCGAGCAGTTGCGTCGTTAAGAGGATATGCACCAGTATTATGTGCCCAGGCTCCTCCAGGAAATGGGTTACACAGAGAGAAAATAGTGGCTGTCCCTAGGAAATCAATATAACTCTGGGTTTGCTTACATAATCCGCACTCAAGAGACTGTTACCTCGGATTTGTTCTCCTGAGATAACAAGCTCTGTTTGCCCAGATGAGGAGTCCTGTGGTGTCTGGAGCCCTGCCTCCTTGCCAGTCTTCCTCAGGCTCTTCCAGATGACCTGTTTACTGAGCATGCATCTTGACTTCTTTGCACAAAATGTGTGCAGGGGCTATACAGTGCCACTGTTGATTGAGCATGCATCCTGATTTGTTTGCAGAGGTCACCATTACCCCCCTCTTCCCACGGCACTTTCCCTCCCACAAAAACCCGTTTTTGAAAGAGTGGGTTTGTTGCCCAAGAGTGCCAAGCTCACCTTTAACAGTGCAGCCTCCATTATTCCCCAGTACAGTGGTACCTCGGGTTAAGTACTTAGTTCGTTCCGGAGGTCCGTTCTTAACCTGAAACTGTTCTTAACCTGAAGCACCACTTTAGCTAATGGGGTCTCCTGCTGCTGCCAGAGCATGGTCTTGCTGCTGCTGGATAGCTCTGCTGGTAGACTGTGAGACTCTTAATCACATGGTTGTGGGTTTGAGCCCTGCGCTGGGCAAAAGATTCCTGCATTGCAAGGGGATGATCAGGCATGTCCAGCTCCCAAGATACTGCGATCTACTCCCAGTATATAAAAAAAGGCAGTGATCTACCCATTGGCATTTGGGGGAGGGGAGGGTTGACCAGAGTTGTCGAGCTTTTTTGGGGACAGCGTTTCACAGAGCTAATGTGCTTCATTGGGGGGGGGGGAGGGTTTGCAAAAATACGCTCATACAATTATCCACTGCATGCAGAACTCCAGCCACCAGCTGACAAATGATTGCCCATCTCCTTAACCACCTCAGCCGCCAGTTCCAGGGAAGGAGGGAAAAGTCAGCGCACCACGCCCCCTAATCTGGGTCCCGCGATCGACAGCAAGCACCCCAGAGATCTACCTGTAGATCACGATCGACTGGTTGGACATGCCTGGACTAGATGACCCAGATGCCTGTGAGGAACCTGCAATTGCAGCCGAGGAGCCCTCTGTCCTCCAGTGGTTTCCATTGCTGCCTCCGGTTGTGAAGGCAGAGCATAGACATTATGGCTAATAACCTTGGATGATGGCCCTCTTCTCCATGGATTTGTCCCTTCCTATTTGGAAGTCCTCCACCTTGGGGGCCATCACTGCTTCCCCTGTGGCAGGGAGTTCCATAGCTCAACTCTGTGCTGCTTCCTGTGATCTGTCCTGAATCTTCTGCTACGGAAATTTTTTTGGGGGGGCACATCTTTAAAGTTGTTAAATGTTATATTATGCATAAATGTATCCTTTAGACTTGACAGCTCAGGGAAGTTACCTAGCTTTAAAAATCATATAAAATCAACTCCTTTGCCAGTTTCCTTCATTCCACTGCCAATTTGCTTCATTGGCCAGGGACTTGTAAACCACTCGCTCCCTGACATAATCCCTCAAGCAGGGGGTCATGTACTCACAGGAAGGTACTCATAGGTGTCAATCACTGGGCAAAGGCACTCCTCCGGACTTGCCCAGGTGGCAGACTATGCAAACCAAAGTTCTATTGTTCTTTTGCAGTAGGTGCTCAGAATGTACTTTCCAATACATATCCTGTATCCACCTGTTGCCCCAACACATTCCTCCTATGTGAATCATGTATAACCCTCCCCTTTTCTGATGTAGTGATGATGCTCCACGAACTGCATGCTGGGATAAGATAGAAACTTTTAAAAGTCCTTGTCACCCCATCCTCGGGGTTCAAAATTCCTCTTTGAACCTCTTGCGCAATAAACTTTGGTCTACAGCTATTTGCTCCGGTTGGTGGACTCCTTCCTTTATTCTGCAGCGACCTGCGGGCTCTGCCCGACCAGCTGGGTGGCTGAGCAGCCTCGCACCTAGAGTTTTCCGTAACACTTCCAACATTCAGCATGGCAGCCTTTACATGGGCATCTTTGGAGTTTGTTTATCAGGTGACGTGATGGGGGCGAGCACAGGTGTACACACCTGGGAGGGGTGATTCTGTCCATTTTGCTTTCTCTCGGTTTCTGGTTTGCGTATTGTTTTGGCTATTGTGAACGAAGAATGTTCCCCTTTTCAGTAGAAGCAAACAGCATCCACTTCTTCCCCCTGACCCTTATGCACACGCACACAGATGCACAGACCATTTTGAGGGGTCCAGGAAGAGACAGCCTGGCAGGCTCCTGGGTCAACTTCCCCTTCCAGCCTCCTTTGTTCTCTCCGTGTTTGCAGCCCTGATCAGGGCGACTTCCTCCCCAAGGTCTCTTCCTGTCCTCCCAGAGTGGATGGCTGACGTCATTCATATCTCCCGAATGACTCAGTTCCCTCCCCCACCCCCAGGTGGCTTTGTCTGTGCACATCCGGTCCTTCACAAGGCTTGCCGTCATCTCCATGAGCTGCATCCCTGCTAGTCTCTTGCCTGAAAGAACAAGGTGGCTGCGTCGCCCACTTCTCAACTCTTCACCAGGAATTGGGCTTCTTCGGAGCCAAGCTGTGCCTTCTGCCCTGCAGATAAACCTCCTTGTAATCCAGGGCCCCTCCAAATAAATGTCCTTTTAAAATTATTATTATTATTAATTATTTATTCCATTTAAACATATATAATCACATCATTATTATCCATTTTACTTCTTTGGCTCTTTAGAGCCTGTCGATTTCCTTCCCTCCCACCTCTTAGTTTTCAAAACTAACCTTTATATCACAGAGTTTCGTATATTTTCCAGTTCTAGTATAGCTCATTACTAAATACCTCAAAATTTAATTTCTCAAAAAATTCTCATTACAAGTCTTCAGATAACCCTACCAGTGTTGTTAATTGCTTACAACAATCTTTCAAATATTGTATGAATTTACTCCAGTCCTTTTGGAACACTTGATCGCGCTGGTTTCGGGTTTTTCCCATCAGCTTCGCCAGTTCCATCATCTTCACATGCCACTCTTCTTTCGTTGGTACTTCTTGTTGTTTCATTTTTGGGCTAAAAGGATTCTTGCCGCAGTGGTTGCATACATGAACAGTCTTTTATCTTTTTTTTGTATCTCTTCACCTACTATACCCAGTAAAAAGGCTTCTGGTTTTTTAACAAAAGTGTTTTTAAACAGTTTCTTTAACTCATTATATATCATTTCCCAGAAAGCCTTTACCTCTTTACAAGTCCACCACATGTGGTAAAAGATGTTAGATCTCCAAATGCCCTTTCCGTTGTGCATTCATGATGAGCTGTGCTCAGGATGGTGTTGGGGTAGTTATATGTGATTCTGCGTTCAAGACAGGAAAAGTTACATGGATGTCTGTGTGCCACCTCCAAGGTCAGACAGAGAGGGCAACATGCCCTTTCTGGGCTTCCCATGGTCATTTGACTGGTCACTGTGGAGAAGTATAGAGGGTTTTTGAAATCTACTCGGAGCCGAGTGTGAATTTCATGCTCTTTATTCAGCTCATAGCAGCAATGAATGAATCTTTCCCCAAAACGTCTAGCTATATATACATTATTTGCACAATGGGCCTCGCGTGATTGGCTAATTCCGGGCTGCTCCTGTAGGCCAATCAGGTTGTGGATTCACCTCCTCCAGAAGCCTGATTGGCTGCTCCTGCAAGCCAATCAAGTTGCTGATTCACTTCATTCAGGAGCCTGATTGGCTGCTCCTGCAGGCCAATCAGGTCGCTGATTCACTTCCACCTGGAGCTGGATTGGGTGGCTCCTGCGGACCAATCAGACTGCTGCATTCTGGATCCTATTGTTCTAGGATTCAGCTCAGTACAGAACACCTTTGTCCAGTACTTTGCCCCCTCCCCACCAGAAGTGGCTGGTCTTGGCCCCTGGCCTCTGTCTGCAGGTTCCACGGGATTCACACATTACTTTGATCTTCAGTGCAGGCAACCCCAGACCTCCCTGGTGCTCCTAAAACATTTATTCATGTTATTTTTTTTAAAAAGCCATTTTATGGACGTCTTACTACACACAGACCCCGAAGCAGTTTGCCTGGGTTGCTTGCTCTGACAGACAGGCAGGCTGAGAACTTCTTCCTCGTTAGGGAGCCCAGCTAAGTGAAGGTGTCTCAGAGGGCGGCACAAACATCAAGGAACAATAGTTTGTGGCATTGCCTCCTTGCAACAATTGGGTGTTGGAACCTTTGTTAACGGAGAAATCCGAGGGCTCCCTTGGACAAAAGACAAGGAGACCAGCCAGGAAGAGCAGAGCAAAAGAGCAGCCAGTAGGCTTGGTCTTGATTGAAGACTGTGGCCACAGGACTCCCAGCTGCCACCAGGTGGAACAAGATGGAAGCCCAGAACAAAAGAAGACCCCAACTTTTATTAGTTACTAATCCCCCATGCTACACCCCTAGAACTACATCACAACTACATCATGACTACATCATTGACACATCACAAAAAGGAGGGGTTGAGGGAGGAGTTGTGGAGGTAACATGAGTATCTTGTCACCTGGCTGGTTCCTCCTTTCCCCCTCCCCATGAGTCATTTCCAGAGGACAAAGGGGAGTTGGCAGTTTCCTGCCCCCAGAGGGAAGATCTGATCATTGTCCTTTGTTCCAGTCCGTGTTGAATCCACTCCCATATGCAGGTCCTTTGTGACCTTGATAGTCTTCTGTCTAGGACCATCAGGGTTGGCATAACAACTGGGCAGGGCTCCTGTGTACGTGCTGGTACGCCCAAGGGATTATGCCCATCCTGTATCAAACTGTCCCCCTTTGATAGTCCTTCCTTCATGGAGCAAAATAAAAGTGGACCAGTGTAAATCCGATGTACGGTTGATTTACTATGAATTTATAACAGAAACGTCGCGTATGTCGTGTGTATGTGTGTCGTGTTTGTACAAACTGAATGATTGGGGGGGGGGGTTCCTGCAACACCTTCCACAGAAAAGGGGCAGAAGCATGCTGTCAAGAGAAGTGAGCACTCCTCTTCAATGCCACAGGGAGCTTTCCCTCTTATTTTTCCTAGGGCCAGGGTGAGGCCCGGGGGAATGTGGCTCTTGGGAGAAGCCGTGCTGCAGAAATGCAAGGCTCTCTCTGAGCTTCCTGCATTATTAGCTTGCCGTGTGTCAAGCACAACAAGGAGTCAGCTGGGTCCTTTGGCCAGCAGACTTACCGCCTCTGCCTTTTGAGTGGGGGCACCACGGTTTCAAAGCACTCCTGCCCCCCTTTGAAATATGCCCTCTTGACTCTGCCTTTATTCCAATCCGTTTTTATCTTCAATCTGCTTCCTGCATGATATTTCCTGGGCAATTAAGGTGAGCGCGGAGAGGGGTGGGTTTGATGTGCACTTTGCAAGACTGCTGATCCTTTGCAAGCAAATTTAAGGGAAGCTTCACAGGCCTCAGGTTGTTGCATTGCAACATACTGTTCCCGGCAAGGCCTCAAGGTAAGGGAGGGGACACTTTGCTAAACCTGAGCTGCCAAGTTTTGACTAGCAAGCTAAGGAGGAGCAGGTGGAATAAGAAAAGATGCTTATGCAGGGATTCTGGGAACGAGGTGTGACATCAGGAGGAACCACCATTGCTAAGGCTGGGCTCTGGCAATAGCCATGAGCCTG